ACATTAACCATATCATTTGAACTGGCAAGGTCATGAATGTATTTTGCTTTGCAATTTAAAGTTTGATCTCTCCACAATTTTTTTCCATGAACAGTTCATCCAATACGTGGAGCGACCGTTGTTAGTAATAAAATTTTGGTGCGTTTTTCGTTCTGTTAGCGTTGTTGGGCACAGTTACTGTTAGGAGAAACCACATACATGTCTGTTCAATCAAATTTCCGCAGGGACTGCGAGGAGCTCAAGGAATCCGTGGACCGCCCGGCATTTCAGAAGTTGGGCAGGTGATAAACAGGACTGTCGTAGGAAGTCCTGGTATGGTGGGTCAGCGTGGAGCAACGGGACCTCCTGGACTAAGTGGTGCACCGGGAAACAAGGGTCCAAGAGGTAGAAAAGGCGTTCAAGGAGACCGAGGAGATTACGGAGAACGTGGTCCACCCGGACCTGCTGGTGAGCCTGGTGCTGATGGAGAGCCAGGAAGTGATGGTGAAAACGGACCTGACGGAGCAACTGGAGAGGCAGGTCCACAAGGTCCACCAGGTCCCCCAGGTGATTTGGGGACAATGGGACCACAAGGTCCCCCTGGACCACCAGGACCGAAAGGCGCAGTGGGACTGACCGGACTAAGAGGGGAACCTGGAAAAAGAGGACCGCCCGGACCACCTGGACTAACTGGAGAAGTTGGTGGCATTGGACCGGTTGGCGCTCCCGGAATAAGCGGAAATCTTGGTCGCAAAGGTCCCACTGGACAACGTGGAAGTCCAGGTCCACGGGGGAAGCCTGGACCCCCTGGTGAAGCCGGGAAGCCTGGAGCCAAAGGGCACGTGGGCTACCCCGGTTTCATGGGACCTCCAGGTGAGCCAGGTCCGGAAGGTCCCGCGGGAACCGAAGGAAGTGAAGGACCTCCAGGTGAGCAAGGTCCATCTGGAAAGTACGGAGAAGCTGGAGAAGCTGGAAACATTGGCCCACCGGGGCCACCCGGTCGACCTGGTCCACCTGGAAGACGGGGGCCAGTGGGCGCAACTGGAGCGAGAGGTGCTCAGGGAGCTGTTGGGAAGCCTGGAGAGATCGGTTTAACGGGATCAATCGGTTTTCCAGGCAGCAGAGGACCACGCGGAGAACCTGGAGAGCCTGGTGAAGTAGGACCGAAGGGAGAAGCAGGCCTGCCAGGAGCTTCTGGATCCAAAGGTCACACAGGCCCTAGAGGAGATTCTGGGCGTCCAGGTGAAGCTGGAAAAGAAGGGAGACCTGGAAAGCAGGGTGAGCCGGGCCCCAAAGGCACACCTGGAGGAAAGGGACCTGTCGGACTACCAGGTCCACCTGGGCTTGATGGTCCGATGGGTTATCCTGGTGATCAAGGACCTCGAGGTACACCTGGTCCAATAGGTGAACGTGGTCCCATGGGTGCTCGAGGCAAACGTGGAGATCGAGGAGATCCTGGAGAAGTTGGACCTGTTGGTCCGCCTGGACGTGATGGTGACCCAGGTCCGCCAGGGCCTCAAGGAATAATGGGACCTATGGGCCCCCCAGGACCACCTGGACAGGTAGTAAGTATGCAAGCTCGGGCATCGAGGACTAAAGGGTGGATGTTCAGTGACGAAAAGGCGATTCGACGGCGATTCGGCCCCATTGCTCCTGCCGATCCTCAAGGAACACAAGATGCACCTGCAAGAACATGTGCCCAGATGTTTTCCAAGTTCCCTAACAAACCTGACGGTAAGTTATCTAAGTCAAGGGAATTATGGTTTTGTGTGTTTGAAAATTTCCTCTCATCCTCCTTTACGACTGATATATGTCTTACTGTTCCACGTAAATTCAGAAAACCTGTATCTTGATGATGTCAGAGTAGAAAATATCGTGGAAGCCATACAAGGTGACTACTGGTGGTGATCATAGGCCTTGGTGACTGGTTTATCAGGTGAAGATGTCTCTATTTATGGTGGACCACACAGGCGTCTGACCTCCGTTTTACATTACGTAAGTATGGGTTCCCATTCATGGTCCCTCATAAGTAGTAAATTTCAGCCCAAATAAACTAGGTGCCCAATCCAGCAGAAAACATAACAAACCCACTTGGGACCATGTTACCCACGAAGTTAACCACGAACAACTTACAGTGTTTCGTATAGTCAGATGTGAAGAATGCAAGTCCTTCAGAATTCCAAACACAGTTGTCTATTCATTCCATGATCTGTTTCGAACAATGCCATGTCCATTTTCAATACCAGTTTAAGCCCCAATGAGTCGTTTTGGTAGTTCCTTTGGTTACCGAACTCCGCATCTTATTTTATTCTCGGAGCAGTCAAATCACACGCTAATTATGGTGAT